GGGTACTTCTTCTGCGTAAGGACAAGACCAGTAGCACGAGAAGTGACCTCAACTCCAAGAAAGTAGTGAAGCTTCCCAAGATCTTTGACCGCAAAATCAGCACCAAGAGAGCAGACAAGAGCATCAGCAGCATACTGAGAAGAGCTGACAAGGATAATATCATCGACATATACCAAAAGATACATAGTGACTTCTGGCTTCTGTAGAAGAAATAATGAAGTGTCAGCAGTAGACGGCACAAACCCATGAGCACGAAGGGCGGAGGCAAGGCGGGCATGCCAGGCACGAGGAGCTTGCTTCAAACCATATAGTGCTTTGGAAAGACGACAGATATAGTCAGGACGATCAGGATCAGAGAAACCAGGCGGCTGTTTCATATAAACCTCTTCCTCCAAAAATCCATGTAGAAAAGCATTCTGCACATCAAGTTGACGAAGTGACCAACCACGAGAAACAACAATGGAGAGAAGAAGCCGAATAGTGGTAGGCTTGACGACAGGACTGAAGGTGTCCTCATAGTCAAGACCATGACGCTGCCGAAAACCGCGAGCAACAAGTCGCGCTTTGTAACGCTCAATAGATCCATCCGAATGCTTCTTCACTTTGAATACCCATTTTGAGTCAATAACATTTACCCGTGGTGGTGGAGGAACGAGAGTCCATGTCTTGTTACGAAGAAGAGCATGAAACTCCTGCTCCATAGCCTCTCGCCAATGTGGAATGCGCAGGGCAGCCTGATATGAGCGAGGCTCAGAAGATGGATCCGCAACAGCAGCAGCCAAACAAGCAGCCAACCAAGCAACCGTACCATCCTTACGTTCCTTAGGTTTGAAAATGCCACTACGACTGCGTGTATGTGGTCAGGACACAGGAACCACCGAGGTCGACGGAGCAGCCTGCAACGGGCTGGAGGACGGCGACGTTGACGAGTCAGCCGGTGACGAGGAGCCAGTCACGGTAGCCTCGGACTCGGTTGGCGAAGAAGGCCGACCCACCGGCGAAACCGGCAGAGCAGACGAAGCAGCTGGCGACTCCGGCATCACAGACCGGGCCGAGGGCGAGCTCGGCATAGTGGGCCGTGGCGCGGCCGGTGTCGCGGGCCGATTCGCTGATGAAGGCGACGTGAGGACCCGAGCCGCGGGCGAAGACGGCGTGACGGGCCGAGCCGCAGGCGAAGACGGCGTGACGAGCCGAGCCGCGGGCGACTCGGCGGCCGCTGGCGAAACGAACCGAGCAGTGGAGATGCTCGGCGCGACGGGCTCGTCGGGTGACCATGCATGGGCACGCGAATCGATGCCATGCAACATAGGGCGATCGACGTGCCCACCAGAAGACAACGATGATGATGGTGAATCCTCCAACAGCTCCAAACGAGCTCCACGTCCGGTTCCTGCACCATGGTTAGGTAACAGCAAAGGAGAGTATGCAACATCATCAAATTGGTCAGAAGCAACAGAAGATGAATGCAGGGATGGTGGTTCGACAGTGAACACAGGAACGTTGGCAAAGGGAAAAACATGCTCATCAAACACGACGTCCCGAGATATATAGACACGATTAGTGGGAACATGAAGACATTTGTAACCTTTATGAAGAGAGCTATAGCCAAGAAAAACACACTTCTTAGAACGAAACTCAAGCTTGCGCTTGTTATATGGACGAAGATGCGGCCAGCAAGCACACCCAAATACCTTGAGAAAGGTATAATCAGGTTGTTCATTAAGGAGAACCTCAATGGGAGTCTTCATGTTTAAAACACGAGTAGGAGTACGGTTGATGAGAAAGCATGCAGTGGTGAAAGCATCACTCCAAAACCGAAACGGAACAGATGCATGGGCCAAAAGAGTAAGACCAGCTTCAACAATATGACGATGCTTACGTTCGACTGAACCATTCTGCTGATGTGTACGTGGACATGCTAAACGATGAGCTATCCCAAGCGACTGAAAGAAAGAGTTGAGGTTGCGATACTCGCCCCCCCAGTCTGACTGGACATGAACAATTTTGTGCTTGAGAAGACGTTCAACATGTTTTTGAAACTGAACAAAAATATCAAACACATCAGATTTGCGTTTAATAAGGTAAAGCCAGGTAAAGCGACTATAAGCATCAATGAAACTGATATAGTAATTATGACCACTGACAGAAGTCTGAGCAGGACCCCATACATCTGAAAACACAAGTTCTAAAGGATGTTTCACCTCACGACTGGACTCCGAAAAAAGAAGTTGATGACTCTTCCCCTGCTGACAAGCATCACACACTGCTACATCTTTATTACTAGACAAACTAGGAAGCTCATGACGACGCAAAATATGACGGACAATAGGTGTGGCCGGGTGACCAAGACGAGCATGCCACTGTGACGGAGAGACCCGAACTCCACTGAAAACACGAGCGACACCAGGATGCTCCAGACGGTAGAGGCCCTGGCACAACCGCCCACTAAGAAGAATGTCCCTCGTGCCCCGATCCTTAATAAAAAGATCAAAAGGGTGAAATTCACAAAGCACATTATTATCACGTGTGAGTTTAGGAACTGAAAGAAGATTACGGGTCACAGATGGAACTCGAAGAACATTGCGAAGCTGAAGACTCCTATTGGCATGTCTAGTGAGAAGAGATGCTTGACCAATATGAGAGATGTGCATACCTGCTCCATTGGCGGTGTGGATCTTGTCGGAGCCATGATAGGGTTCACGAGTGTGAAGCTTCCCCATCTCGCTGGTTAGATGCTCTGTCACCCCAGAGTCCATGTACAAGTGTGGATTAGAAGCGAAAGCGGTCGTAACCTAGCGTGATACCATGTAAGACAATAAGTTTTGGGGAACCAGCACAACCCTCTAGGGGTGGCTTATCTCATTATATATAATGGTTGTGTTACAATATGTACAATATACGTACATAGGTACAGAAGCTATACATAGTCTAACAATGTTCATAATTTATTTACGGATTAAATCAATCAAAAAATTGCTAATTTTATTCAACAATAACTTCATGGTTTTTTAGCCGCATGTGATGATGCATGCGGCATATTTGAATTACATGAGATATTTTCTGGGCATGAGAGAGCATGTCATTTTCAAGCCGGAGAGCTTGATGGTGATGAGATGACCGAAGTGAAACGGCGGCGGCGAAGACGATCCCATCGAGGAGGCTGCCTGGGGTGCAAACACCATGGAGGCAGCCGGAGGCACCGAAGCCGATGCGGGAGGAGGCGGGACCGCAGCCAGGGCGGGCGCCGCAAAGCTCGCGGCCGGTGCGGACGCCGCAAGGCCCGCGGCCGGGGCGGACGCCGCCAACCCCTCCAGCGGGGCAGTGTGATCCGCTTGCGGCAGGAGCGGCGGGACGACGCCTGCGGAGTCCGCAGCGGACGGCGGCGCCGCGGTGTGGACCACGAGGTCACGCCCAAGCGAGGGCGCCGGCGGCGTGGAGAAGACGGAGCCGATGCTCCTTGTCCCGATCGGAGCCGGAACAGAGACGACATCGAGCGGGAGGTTGAGCAGAGCCGCAAGAGAGGCCGGGAGGAAGCCCGCAGCAGTGGAACCGGTGGTGGCGGCGCTCGACATGGCTGCGGCGCGATCGGTGGCGCGGCGGCGGCTGCGGCGGCGGTGCGGGTATTAGGGTTTAGAAGCGAAAGCGGTCGTAACCTAGCGTGATACCATGTAAGACAATAAGTTTTGGGGAACCAGCACAACCCTCTAGGGGTGGCTTATCTCATTATATATAATGGTTGTGTTACAATATGTACAATATACGTACATAGGTACAGAAGCTATACATAGTCTAACAATGTTCATAATTTATTTACGGATTAAATCAATCAAAAAATTGCTAATTTTATTCAACAATAACTTCATGGTTTTTTAGCCGCATGTGATGATGCATGCGGCATATTTGAATTACATGAGATATTTTCTGGGCATGAGAGAGCATGTCATTTTCAAGCCATTTACAATCGGAGTACATCGCTACATGCATTCCGTCAATGATGCTCCATTTCTCGTCTCCGTTAGTAGAAGAGCAGTACCACCATTTTAAAAGCTCGGAGCTTTCTTGGGTGCAAGAGAAAGAAGAGGATTTGAAACCGGGGCGGCTCCGGCTAGCACGCAGCAGGGAGGAGGGCAGCGTGAGCTGGGTTCGTCTTCCTCCTCGCGGCGCACCAGGCAAGCCCAGCTCAGGGTCCAGCGCGGCAGGGCAGGGCCGAGGGAGGGAGCGGGCGGCACGCACCAACCTGCCCCCGGGATAGTTTTATGCGATTATCCGCGTCACCCCACCGGCCCCCGCTGCTGCTTTCCCAATCGAGCCGAGCACCGCGATTCCAGGCCAGCGGAAACCGATTAAAAAAGGCAACCCCCGCTCCGTCCGCGCAAAAGTAAAAAACAACAACCGCATCGCGCAGCGCAGCGCAGCACCGAGCGAGCGAGCGAGCGGGCGGAGAGAGGGGGGAGCGAGCAAAGGTTCGATAAAAAGGAGAGGAGGAGACGAAGCGTCCAAGCCCAAGTAACATCCCCACATCCCCTTCCTCCCCTCCCTTTCCCATCGCCCCGGCCGCATCGAGATCTTGGCTGGCACCGCCGGAGATCGCGAGGAGCGGCCCCGCGGCTCCCCCGATCCCACCTCCTCCTCCGCCGCCGCCGACCGCCGCCGCCGACCGCCGATCGGTGAGTCGCCCGATCCGCCCCGCCCCGCCACGCCCTGCGCCGATCGCCGCCGGATCGGCCGGATCTGGTACGGATCTCGCGTAATTCCGCGGCCCTGTGAGGCGCGCTTGTCGTTTTGCTGCGTGGCCCGCGGGCGCGGCTCGATCGCCGCGTTGCTTTCAGCTCGGATCTAGCTAGCCCTCCCTGCGCGCGCGCGCGCGGGGCGTGTGCGCGTTTCGTTTTGTGGCTGCCCTTGTGGATAAGTCGGGGTTTTGTCCGCATTTGCTATGGCTGGCTGGTATGAATTCGCCCTGACTTGTGGATTGCAGGGGTAGGAGGGTAGGGGAGGACGCGATGGAGGCCGACTCCGGGAAGCTCTTCGTCGGCGGCATCTCCTGGGAGACGGACGAGGACCGCCTCCGCGACTACTTTGGCCGCTTCGGCGAGGTCACCGAGGCTGTCATCATGCGCGACCGCAACACCGGCCGCGCTCGCGGCTTCGGCTTCATAGTCTTTGCCGAGGCCGGCGTTGCTGAGCGAGTCACCATGGACAAGCACATGATCGATGGCCGCATGGTAATTACGTGATGCCATTCTTGCTCCTTCCTCTGCTAGTCTAGTCATGTGCATTTCGTTGGGAATTCTGCTTGTAATCCTGTCTGTGGTTCGACCAAGCTTGAGCTCAATTGTCTGCGCCAATTCAATTCAGGTCGAAGCCAAGAAAGCTGTTCCCAGGGACGACCAGAGCATTGCAAGCAAGAACAATGGCAGCAGCATAGGCTCGCCTGGGCCAGTCCGTACCAGAAAGATCTTTGTTGGGGGGCTGGCCTCCAATGTTACTGAGGTTGAATTCAGAAGGTATTTTGAGCAATTCGGCATGATAACAGATGTGGTTGTCATGTACGACCACAACACACAGAGGCCCAGGGGCTTTGGCTTCATCACCTATGATTCAGAAGATGCAGTGGATAAGGCGCTGCACAAGAACTTCCATGAGCTTAATGGCAAGATGGTTGAAGTCAAGAGAGCTGTCCCAAAGGAGCAGTCGCCTGGACCTGTCGCACGCTCACCTGCTGGAGGGCAGAACCTTGCTATCAGCAGGGTTCACAACTTCTTGAATGGCTTCAACCAGGGATATAGCCCAAACCCGATAGGAGGTTACGGCATGAGGGTGGATGGAAGGTTTGGCCTGCTTTCAGGTGCACGAAATGGGTTTTCTTCATTTGGCCCCAGTTATGGAATGGGCATGAATGTTGAAACTGGGATGAATGCAAATTTTGGTGCAAACTCTAGTTTCCTCAATAACTCAAATGGGCGGCAAATGGGTTCATACTACAATGGTGGTTTAAACAGACTAGGCAGCCCTATTGGGTACGTTGGTCTGAATGATGATTCAGGATCGATATTGAGTTCAATGGGAAGGAATGTTTGGGGTAATGGAAATGTCAACTACCAGAACAGCCCTACAAACATGAGTTCTTTTGTACCATCTGGAAGTGGGAGTCAAGTTGGTATTACTGGCGATGGTATAAATTGGGGAGGTCCTACTTCTGCCCATGGGATGGGAAGCATTTCAAGCCTTGGGTCTAACATTGGCCGTGGGGCTGGAGATAACTTTGGTTTGCCGTCTGGCGGCTATGGAAGGAGCAACCCAACTGGCACCATTGGTGAACCTTTTTCTGCGTCAGCCAATGCATATGAAATGAACAACATAGATACATATGGCAACAACTCTATTTATGGTGACTCAACCTGGAGGTTCACGTCATCTGAGATCGATATTCCTCCTTTTGATAATGATCTTGGAAATATCGATCCAGATATCAAATCGAACATGCCAGCAAGTTACATGGGCAACTATACTGTTAATAATAATCAGACAAGCAGAGGTCAGTACCCGCTTCAGCATTTTGCTATTAGCTACACATGAATTTCCCATCTTTTTTTGAAAATTAAAGGTGCTGCATAACTCAGTTATTCAAAAAATAGAATGAATATTTAAATAGAGCAATTGATCTACCCTTCATAGTTTATTAGAACCATTACATCTGCATGTCTATGTTTTTGGAAAGGAAAAATGTTGCATAATTGCATGCCATATGCTTAATCAGTTGATGCTAGAGCATAATCAATAGACCTTTCTTGGGGCTTACATCAGATTTGACTGGTAGATCAGTGGATTGAACTTGTAGGAATTGTGTTGTAATTATATTGTGGTAGTATACGTATCACATTTAACTGACACAACATTGGGTGCTGTCTGACTGCTTTTGCTGTAATGAAAGCACTATCAAGAGCAACAACTTTTGGACGCATCAGCTTTGACTGATAATGAATAGATCAAATAGGGAGCACTGCCTTCATCCATTCCATTGACCTGGGATATGCTTCCATGTAATGCCTGACAAACATAATGGATTAGGGACCAATGATTTGTTTTGCAATTTTAGTTGTGTCAAGTAAATCGATGCAAATGATTGGTGTAGGATGTATTCACTAACCTGGTTTGTTTAGTTCCTGTATCTACTCTATGATCTTTGACATAATTCTAGGTCAAATTTTGTGACCAGCTCTTTCATAAGTAAAATTGAGATTTGCTACAACCTTGTTATTGTAGTGCCATCCTGAAGTTGAGGGTAAATGATAGCATTGGAGATGTGTAATGCATGTGCCTGAACAACATAAAGGGTAAGAAATGAGAAAACAATATATTTTAAATATAAATAAAATTGAAAAAGAGGGTGAGCCAAGCAATTATGAGAATATTTTGTATGCATGTGGCTGCTGTCATTGGCTGAGCAAATCACTTGTCTAAATACGTTTAGAATCAGTTTGGAACTCGCATTAAGTGAAGTATGTATTGACTCATGTCTGTGGAGGATGGACATGTGTTCTTCCTTTCATCTGACGAATTATTATAGTTCTAAATTACCATTTTCTGTCAGGACTGTTATCGGTGGTTTTATTTCCAAAGCTACTGTCATTTGTTTCCGTGCTTGATTGATAGTTTAGTTACACATGAATGAGTGTGCATTTTTAGAAACTAGCTAAGATAACCCATTGAATGACACTTTATTATTATTATTGCCAATTTGTGATAAATTCTCCCTCTCTGTGTGTGTATGTGTTTAGAATTCTGGCAACAGGTTAATCCTATTTTCTCAAATAATTGAATGCACTACAACGAAGTTTGATAGTGATTCTAACTATTTTGTAATTACAGAATATTTAACCAGTTGCAATTGAAAATGAAAAAAGTATTGTTGTAGTTAATATTTTGCTTTCGTGAAAATGCGCCGAGTCAGAATTGTTACATAAGTTAGTGTTGATCTTTATACTTTGATGCACCAAGGACTGGGTCATTTTTGCTCAACTGGTGTTGTAGAGATGTAAATTTCTTCTTTAATTTGGACAACCGTGCTTGTTGCTTGCCCCATTTCCTGTGTAGATCATAGTTAAATGTGGTGTAAGGGCTCCTTGTCTCGAGGACATGAGCTATACTCTGTCATGGATATTTACTTTTGCTATCTGATCAGGCATGCGTGACAAGAAGTCGCTCACATGTATTTTGTTACAACTTAAACTGTATAATATGTTTGGGAATGAAAATGGTTAAGTTTTTTTTTGGTAACTTGATACTAAGTTTCTAACTAGTCAACACATGATCTGAGGTGCATCGTACATGCAGTAATCAGTAATCGAGTCTGTTTGTTGTCAATGCCCACTTTATTATATTCTTGAAATTTATACTGTGAAGAGAAACTATACTAGAATGTTTGTATCTGATCAAGATTTGTTGCACCGTTTTGCAGGTATCACTTCCTAGGCGAGAATATTATTATAGTCATATATATGACTTGGGATAGGCAAGACACCCATTATATCAGGTATTCACGTGCAGTACTGTGAATTGGTGATATCAGATTAATATACAGGTTAGTTAATTGTTTCTAGCTAACCAGAGGTGTGGTTTACGGACACCAACCAACATGCTAGAGGAGCGGGATACAAACATTTTGTGAAGGTTTCAGATTTTAGTTTAATTTTCTACGTGTATTAGGTCTTTTGGTTTTCCAATGAGATGTGCAGTGGTGATTGCGGCACACACTTAGAAGGTGTTCCAACATAAGCTGGAATTCTGTCATACGGACGACAAACTTGTATACCAGGGATGCTGTATTATCTTGCCCATTTATGGCAACATTAGCTTGCGTGTTTTTCCTCTTCTCCTTTTTTAACCATTTCATTTGTTACTAGAGGATTTGGTCGGCTTTACTAGTAAAAACTATTTGGGGGTGCCAATGCCATACTGGTCCCCATTAATAAAGTCACCCAAAGTACATACAATGTTGCTTCTTCTTCTTCTGTGTCTATTTGTATGCCGTTGCATGTTTATTCTTTGGGAAAAATACAAGTTTCGATCTGGTCATGCATATTTGCACACTGTGTTTGATTGTTTTAAAGCGAGCCTATCAGCCGGTAGGTAGGTACTCACATACGCAAGCTTTTCATAGCTCAGGATGGCATGCATGTGCTCGTGTCTTCCATTTCCATCTTTTCGAAAGTAGCTTTAGATCTCATGTGGATGGGTACTGCATTGGCCTTGCCTTTTAGGTAGTTGAAGTACACCAGGCTGTGTGTACTTTCCCTCCCCCTATAAATAGCTCGCTATTTTCTGCTTCCATATATATCTTGATTTGCTTCCTTCCTTCCTCATCACGGCCTTCACCGTTTCATGTTACCCCGTCGCTTTCAGCCACCTACTTGTAGAGTGCTTCACCTAACGGTTTTCCATGTCTGGTGGTTGCCGATGCTTCGGTCCATGTTTGGACTGGCATTTCACTCCACATTTCCAGAAATTCAAACAACCATAGAGAGCGTGCAAAAGTGCAAAGTTTTATTTCTTTTTGACACCGAAGTGTAGGAGGGACCCTACACAAAAGTGTAGGAGGGCGGTGCTAACTCTCTCCTACTGCGATTTGCGAACCCAATGGCGTCTGCTCCATGGCGGCAGGGCGAAGCTCCTTTCCCTGTGGTAGTCTTGTTAGCTGCAGTCCCAAGCTTCCCATCTCCTCCAAGACCTATGTTGACAATGACCTTGCCCTGATGCCCTGCCAACCTAACCTTCCTCGGTGGAAGGAAGCCTTGTTGTGCGGTACCCTCCACCAGCCATCCGTCGTGCTGGTTGGTGCCTTCCAGGCATCCCCAACGCCTAGCCAAGCGCGTAGCGAACCTGATGGAGAACAGACGGCCTGGAATCGTATAACTATCAAAAGCAAAAGCGAGTGACTGTTCATCGATACTGTTATGGTCCGACTACTCATAAGGTTTGGTCTGCAAACATTGTGTGGCACCTCGACCCACTCCAAATCTTGGGTTCAGCCCATGGCTCTGAGCTTGGGAGCACCTCCACCGGGTAGTCAAGTGAAAGCACCCAGACTCTTGCAGGTTCTGACAATCGCGGCTGATGAAGAGGACGAAAGCACAAACGGGTAGCTATGCTACGTATGGATGTGAGATTTAGGAGAAACCCGAGACCTTAGAGTGCTACTCCCTCCGTTCCAAAATAGATGACCCAACTTTATACTACCTCTCCGTTCCAAAATAGATGACCCAACTTTATACTACCTCACCGTTCTAAAATACCTTTAGTACAAAGATAATATAAAGTTGGGTTATCTATTTTGAAACGGAGGGAGTACAACTTATTAGTGATAGATCTGTGGATCGGGTAGGGTAGATTAATCCGGTGAACCTACCTTCTCCTTGTGGCTCGAGGAGCTCCAGTTGCCGGCCATGGTGGATGGCGACGGTGGTGGCAGAGAGTAGTGGTGGCGGAGCTTCCCATCAGCATTGCACTAACCCTAGATCGGTAGGGGATTACGTGGGGTGTGCGGCGCTGGACGAACCTTGTAATGCGAGCCGCCGACTCCCGCCTCTTTATATAGTGCAGGTGACAGGGGCCCGTCACCCATAGTGGGTTGAGCGCCCCCGATCAGGGCGCGGATCTAAGGGCCCGGTGGGCCGTTGGGCCCACACGGTGGAGATCATCCTAACATTCTCCTCCTTGATCTCAATTTTTACTTTTGACCTTATACTTTTACTTTACTCGTTTCATAACAGATCAATACATAGAACATGTTTCATCGTCACAACTCAATTGCCGATAGAATCAGACAGCCACAATGTACCACTCTGTTTTGAAACAAATTCTTTAACCTTGGGCCCTTTTATTGTCTGGAAATGTTAGACTATACCATAAAACCCATGTCGACTGTGTGTTCTCCGAACACACTGGGCGGTAAGCCTTTAATAAGCAGATCTGCAAACACTTGTCTGTTGCTTTTATGCTTCAAGCATTCCTACATAATTCCGGACTTTCTCCTTTACAACGCATACTCTGTGTCAGTGTGTTCAACACTTGACTCGTTGTTATAGGAGCGAAAGACTTAAAATAGTTATCGCTGTTGTCAACCATTATCAACTCCGAGTACAGGTCTTCATAACCATTTTGCCTGTCCCTCATCCTCATATCAAGCTATAAAATATCTTTGCATCACATTCATGATAATTGTTTCATTCTTTGGAGCTTTTCCATACAAAAACCTCCAAGTATGAAAGTTAGCGACAATTGTGGATTTCGCTATACATTTCACAAGTCATGTCTTTGTACTCACAATCTTTTGAGAGCACTTATTTCTTTAAGCTTGAGGCCGATATCTTTGACTCCATTCCAGTGATCTATATATGGACTGGACATTGCCAAAACAACCCGGATATGTGAACTGTGTCAGGGTAATGTATTGAGCTTCCAACAACTGAAGCATATGGTACCATATCCGTTTTTCAATCTTTTCTCATCAACTCTTGGAACATCATAGTTTCCAGTTCCATTACCCTTAACTATAAGAACAGGCGTAGGTTTTCTCGTATGCATACTTTAGAGACCTTTCTTAGCATGTCCATTCGACATTCCTAATACCCCCTTTTATTCTTTTATTTGTGAATCTCGATACTTATAACGAGAGACACTCTACCGAGAACATTCTTTTAAACTTTGAGGATAAGAACTTCTTTTCTCCTCCTGCAGTAGGTTGACATCACCACTAGCAAGTAGGATGTCATCCGCATGCACAGGATTAGGAAATGAATTTCCCATTCTATAACTTTGCACGAATACAATTGTCCTCTCATTTTCTTTAACCCCAAACAACATTTGATTGCTTTAGTTCATAAAAGACTTCTTCAGGCAGTATCCCCTGTGTTCTTACTTTCATCTGATGTAACTCAGATCATGATGTGCCACCAACACTCATTGTAATCTATTTAGTGCAAAACGCGCAAAAACCTTTCGATTTAAGTCGTGTTTTACATATTTACATATTTCCTTTGGAGTCACATTAATCTTGTAGACCCTTTACAGCCTACTGTTTATGCTCCATTGGAAATTACTTATGAGTCCCAAACATCGTTGGGATTCACCAATTTTATTTCATCTCACATAGTCTCTTATCATTTAGATAAGAAGACACTTCTCAAAGCTCGAATGAGCGCTTTAAATAAGGTGGGATCAACCTCCATTTGAATTTCACTAACATAGACTTTATAGTAATCAGAAGTATTTGATTTTCTCATTTCTTGAGACCATCAGTGTCTTAGGTACTGGCACTTCTTTCATATGGGGATGTTGTTGCTCCGTCATTGCAAGAGGCAAACTAATTCTATAGTCTTTCATTTCCAAGAGGCAATAGGTTTTACAGGGACCTGTATCACAAGATCTATGTTTACTCATTCATCATTTATAGAGCTAACAACATGTGTTGTATAGGTCATACAACATGCTCCCCCAGATTACTCCATCTTCACTAAAAATGGCGTATCTTTAAACTTTATAATTTGGATTTATTCTGTTAAAACTTTCTTCTTTATGGCACTTTAAGCACCGTCTTAGTATTCCTTACTCTGCTTTCGGAACTGTAAAAGATCCAGAAATACAACTATTTCTTTTCTTTAGGGGTATTAATATGACCGTCATACTCCCCCAGACGATCACATTCTTCATCACATTATCTAAAGTATAGGGGAGTTTCATCATTCTTAATTTATCTCATATATCTTTCTCCCCCTCGAAATGTGGCAAGAACTTTTCTGCCACAATTTCGAAAACCATTGATAACTCTTTTGAATTGAGGAAACTTTGATTATCTACTTCATTCATCAGATTACTTCATACAAAATGAAGTTATCTCTTCATACAAAGTGAAGTTATCTTTTAAGTAGTATGGGAGTACTCTTTCCTCATTCCATTTCAGAAACTCAACAGAGTTCTTTATCATTAGTATTTTTGCAAGTCACACTTGCATATCATTCTTATCTTTAGGTTCGTCTGTAACTTTTATTCTCTTTGGATTTATTGAGTGCTTAATGACCGTTACACATAAGATGTACGGTCGATACTAGGAAAGCATAATAGCTACTCCATACTTTTCTTCCAGAGTGGGACATATTAAAAGCACATGAGTCATCATGTCTTTCTCCTGTTATACAGGATAAGTCTGAGAAAATTTCTGCCGCCATACGGGTTACGCAGGGATTTTCCCAGACTTATCCTGCCATGCGGGTTTTGTCATAATCATCTTTTCCCGCCATGCGGGTAATTCCCTGCAAGGGACATAAATGCCAGAATTGGCTCTTTTGACTGCATATTCAATCATCAAATTTATAAATAAATCTGAATGCTCTTTGACACACATGCTTGATCCGACTTTAGTCAAATTAAACACACATGTTGCTTGTTTTATCTCAAATCATAGAGAGTACATGAAAGACATTCATCAACCAAGACTCTCAATGATCTATCTCTTTT